GACGCTCTCGCGGCACGATGGTTCACAATTGAGCCGTCGCAGCCGTCGCAGCCAGCCGCCGATATCTTGGCGCTCATCCTCGCCGCACGAGGTCGGCTTCCGGCGATCCTGATTCACGTACCAGTCCGGCGGACGCGACGCTCTCGCGGCACGATGGTTCACAATTGACTGTGCCGCGCCGTCGCAGCCAGCCGCCGATATCTTGGCGCTCATCCTCGCCGCACGAGGTCGGCTTCCGGCGATCCTGATTCACGTACCAGGAAGTTCAGTCCGGCGGACGACGTAGGAGCATACCGGCGCGCTAAATCGCGAGGTGACGGTCCGCCGCTACGTTTCCAGGTGCCGAGATTGACTCACGCTGACCTGCAAAAATACCTGTTAGAATAGCGTGACATTGGACTCCTCTGTCGGGGATGACTGGCAGACGAAGAAACGGTGTCTATCCGGTCATTTCGGGCATGTTGTCAAGTCACTCAAAGTCAAAAACACGTTATTTTTTCTTTTTCCAATGCCTGTCACAAAAGACCGTACTTCATTTTCTTATAATCTATTTTTGTAAAATACAGTATTAGTTTTTTAACTCTTATTGTGTTATTTGTATACTGATTGCTATATAACTCAGACAGCATATAATATTTATGATAAATATTTTTACTATTTATTTTAAAAATATTATTATATATAAATATTTTATACACATATTATTAAAATACAGGCTAAATATTTTATATAATATTTATGGTAAATAAAAAATAAATAATATAAAATATTCAAATAATTATTATAAATATTTTGTACATACTTTATAAATATTGTATGCTGTCTGGGAAAAGAGCAAAAACATTAAATAACAAATGCAAGAACTTATTTCTACTCTATAGAAATATAGATTGCGTATGACCTTTCGTTTTGAGACATAAAATATTATCCAAAAAATCACAAATAGAGAAGAAGAGCATTGACTTTGGCGAGAGAACCTTGAAGAAGAAGGAACAGGAAGAACTGGAGGGAATCAAGGCGATCCACAATTTCTCGTTTCTGTCGGTTTAATTTATTACAGGAACACGGAGCAGATCGAAGGAGAACGAAAAATCGCCGATTTATCAGACGTTAAACGCGCGCCTTGAACGCGGTGCCGGTAATAGCGACGCTCGATATATCTCGATAGGAAGGGGTGTCGTGAAAAAAAGGAGGACAGTCCTCGCACACCTGCGCGGCACGATGTGTACGTGTGTATTTAAATAGCGTTCAGCCTCGAGGTGAAAACGCAAGGCTGCGGCAAGGACTCGCGGCGCCATTATCGTGATGCACACAACAGAAAGAAAGATAATCAAAGTTCTGTGATTCTGTCACGAGAGCAAAATAAGTTTATTTTAGTATCGCGAGATAAATGCGCGTCTTTATATCGGGTATCTGAATGTGAGTGTCAGATAACACGCAAAAAGAAAAAAAAAAAAAATTAGTATCATCGAAGAACTCAATCGACGGTACAGTTACGGATTAGAAGATTTAATCTCGAATTGAGAAACGTAGATTTTACAATTGTAGAAATTTCTTTTTCTATACTTCTTTTTTATATTCTGATGAAACATCCTACAAATATCCTGAACCATCCTGGACATATTCAGGATGATCCTGAGGACGTTTTGTGCTGTCTGGGAATCTTAGTTCTCTCGCAATGCGACAATATACGGAAATTGAATAAATTTCCTTTCTTTTAGGAATTAAAAGTTATATGTACGTTAGAATCAATTCTGCTTAATCACGTCGGAATAAAAAAAAAGAAAAAAACAAATTTTAAAATTAAAAGATTTTTAACAATCGCATGCAGTTCACCGAAAAAGAAAAATCATTCGTGTATTTAAAATCGCATACATTTCACGAACGTTTTACACTCCTCGACGATTCTCCTGTATTTACATCTTCGATTATTACGTCTTCGTAGATTAATCTCAAGCACTCGAAACTGTCATTCGGACATGGTTGTTCAACGCTTCTATCCGGACGTGCATGGCCCCGTCGACGCTGTCACCGAGGACACGACTGTGCTGAAAGTGTTGCCTGCAACGCGGCACTCCTCGTATGTACACGGTGTCCTAGGTAACCCACCGTCGCCTACGCAGAGTTGTAGCCGCAAGTCCGCGAATACATGCGCGCGCGGATCACGTGCATAGGAGCGACTATCGAATCGATTTCTTCACCTGCCTTACCAGAGTTTCTCAATATTATCCGAGTTTCTTAATATTAATATTCGCAATAGCGGCGCAAGGCTATTATTAAAGCTTATAATTATAGCTCGATCATTGAAGAAAGATCATACATGAAAAATCCTGCAAAAGAAAAAAGCATCTTAGAATTATATATTATCCGAGAAATATCTTTTGTTTCGCAAAGTATATTACAAAGAATTTAACGGTATATCCTCAGATTCTTCCGTGTTTTAATTTTATTATTAGATATTCTAAGTGTCTCGCGCACCAAATTTTAGAAGAATTTTGTCTCAAATTTATAAATATTGGTTCTCTCTTCAGATGAAACGTGTTGCTTTTCTTTTGCACTTGAAATGAAATAATAATACATATTTAGACATTTGGAGAGAAAAAGAAAACGAAAGATTGCTAAAGCATAAAAATTCTCTCTCTCTTAAAAAATAATTGAATTAAAATAACACATTTTCAGAATTCATATATATTCAACCAGCTCTTTACATATTGCTAACCGCTAGAATTTATCTTCTATTAATCGTAAAATAACAATATGGGTACCACTGGTAAGCACAAGCAACGATCCAATCTGCTTCCGTATTTAGCAAAACGCGTTTATGCCGTGGCATTACTTCACCCTTTGCGAGTACATCGTATTTAGATTATATCGATTGCCGTTGCGCGTCATAGCTTGACCTACTTGTAACACGTCGGATGTTTCTTATACATATTATATATATATAGTGAGGCATTTAACCCTTAACTATCTATGACGAAAAAACTCATCACGTACCACGCTAAACATGAACGTCATACCAATTCAAATACCAGTAGATTAGAAAGCAAGATTTTACACATCCGCGTAATTTTATTTGTGTACTTATTAAACATTTGATTAAGGGCATTTAAACGAGAAAATAAATATTTTTAGTAGCGATTTAGTAGTGATATAACAGCCTATCATGTACTATCTTGTACATTAAACCAAGTTACAAGTTTCTCATAAATCCTTCATTATTGGTTTAAAATCTATATCCTGCTTGTTGAAAATAAAATTCAAGCATTCCAACAACTTTCATGTTTTAGTTATATTCTATTCATTCTGCAAAGAATCTTCCCGCAGAAGCAAGATCAAAAAAAGAAAAAAAAACGATGTATTATATTAATAATGACATGCAAATCTTAATTTCAAAACATTAAGCATTAAATAATATATTAAGCATTTCACACACACACACACAGATAATACGCAATAAAATGCAACAACAAATTAAACAATTAACAAAATAAAAACGATATCAAAAAAAGACTTGCAAAACTACTGTTAAAAATTGACCTACATTATTCCCAGCGATCTATCTTCTGCAAAGATTTGCATTTAACACGAAATTAATCGCTTAAAATAAAAAAAAAAAAACGTGTCTTCGAATATATGTTTTTAAATTTGGAAAACTTATCCGATTCAACGAAAACTCGGCATAAAAATTTATACTTTAAGCGTAATAATATGTACCGTGAGAAAAATAACATAATGACAGATATAAATGAAAACGCACACGCAAATGTAACATAATAAAAACAAACGTAAATATCTGAATAAAACTAAACGCAATAAAAACGAACTTACAATTGTATCACATTTAAAGAATTACGCGATTCTACAACTTTGCAGATCTTATTATGTCGCGACAATGTAAAATATATTCGCATACGTAGGAATAATTTGATCAAAAAAGCAACCGGAAAATTCGGACAGGGTGGTTTATATTCAACTTGCTGTGCAAATTGCAACATCTGCGCGCCGAGATTGTTCTCGATGGAGAATTTCTCGAAATTGAGCATAAACGTGTCCTCCAAACCGGAAACATAAAGGCTGAAAGAACTCGCCTCTTTATTGGATGAGTTTTCCTTAGCGGCATAGTCAACACACGCGTCGCAATTAACATGCGTAAGCAAACATTCGCTGAGTAGAAATTCACAGACGCGTTTAAACGCGCTTTTCTCGGGCAGTCGCAAATCGATGTTACGATAGTTCGTCGCCGCGACGCTTAAAGCTATTTGAGTGGCAATGGATTGAACTGTATCAACTTGAAGAGACGATGCTGACAACGCTATTCGCTTGAGCATCCTACGCGCGTTCGCGGCGGAATTGTCTTCACTTGAATGCTCGAGAAAGTGCTTGCTTACGAGGTTCTTAAACGCGCGAGTAAACAAGATGGGTGTGGGTTTAACACGATTTCCGCTTTGTCGTCTAATAGAACGGAAGACGCGCTCGATGCCCTCCTGATTCAATCTTCTCGTGCGAAGGAAAGGGATCTGATGCTCCTTCAACGTGTTCCACAATTGGATAACCGCGTTGATTGTGATCTGCCAACGATCGAAGGATTTCATCGATCTCACGCACGCGCCGTTTGCGTCGGTCACTCTGATCGACTTTAGGAAGTCGAGCGTTCGTTGCAAGAAACACATCTCGTACATACTACCCGTGAAAGCTTGACCAAAATCCTTAGTATTAGTCTTAGTTGATATAGATGAGTTCAGAATATCGAATAGCTGATCAAAAGTGTATACAAATTCCATCGTTCCAATCGTTTTCAGCGGAAACTCGCCAGACGCGATATGCGCGCTCAAACCTGCAGCCATGCTACTGCTAAATACTTGAACGGCATATTTGGTTTCCGTCTTTTGACGTTTACTCGGTTCGAGATGACCTACAGACAATTTAGGAATCAGCGGTAACCGCATTTGACTGTCACGCCTGAACAACAGTTCGATATCCGTCCAGGAGGCTCTCTTCTCGTGGAAGCGGAGTTCATAACTCATAAAGATGTTCCTGGTTGATCTTATCAAACGAGGGACATCAAAAATGTAAAATATTTTCTCGCCGTTTACCAGAAAGAATGAATGCTCCACGGAAATTCCTAATTGCCGCGATAATCGTAGAAATGTTGGCGCCGTGCCTGTAATCAAAGCGTGCACAGCCGCGCCGATGCTCTTTAATTTAATTATCGCCTGAAATATCAAATCTTTCATGATATTGGCACAACACGTGCTGCCATAGAAATAATAAGCGACAGGCTGTTCCCAGTCAGCGGTGAGGCTACGCGCCATTATCACTAGAGCCTTTCTCGCCAGCGTGCGCCGTTTCTCCACGCCGATATCATGGAAACCGATGATTCTGTCACGCGATAGATTGTAAAAGAGATACGGTCTCAATCGCATTTCGCTTATACACAGGCAGCAAAGTCTCTCTGTCGGTGGTAGCGACTTCATCTTCAAATGTAATGCGTTCAACACATTATCATTCAAGCCGGGGGGTATATCCCAGTTGCGGATATGTCTCCACAATTGACGTACAGTAGGCAACAGGCATAACGGCCGATAAAATCGATAGGCGCCCGAAGCTATGAGGAAAAACTCGAGCGCAGATTGCCTATCCGCAAAACTTTTTTTGGCCTTGCGTTTCTCGCGAGCGTTAATGAACGCAGATACTAATAAGGCGTAGTTACGCGGCAACAGATCTGCGCATGCTGCTTTAAACTGATCCACCTTCGCGCAATGATCTTCGTTTTCCACATAGAGCATTTTCGATCGCTTCGCGGCCTGGTTGTCGATATGAGTTTCGAAATTTTCTATTCGTCTCTTTTTTAAAAAGGAATCGATATATATCCACGCTTCCGGTGTCTGTGTTGAAATGTGCCAACGTCTTCTTTTTGGAGTTCTGTATAATGTATTAATGATTAAATTGACGTTTTTCCATATCTCGTTAAATATTCTACTATTAATGACTGAAGCAAATTGGCAAAATTCGTAATGTCTCATAATAATATAATTCGCAGATATCATAACAAATAATTCTCACCTGTCACCATTTTGTGGCGTTGTATGAACTGATACAGATACTGCTTTCGACGTCGTTGCCACTAAAGGATCCACAGACGTTAAATCTATGATATCTCTGTAAAAAAAAAAAGAGTAAATATGATTAATATAAATCATACTACATGAATCCATCTTTTAAAATTGTCACCAAATTTACCCGTTGTCGCATTCCGAAGATATTCGTGATGATGTCGGTGTTACCAAATCTGTGCATACTTCTTTGACGAGTTGTACTTCTGCCTTAGGGATATTTCTGCCAACAAAAGTATATTCCTCATAATATATTAATTTTTTTAAAACTTCTTATCACTGATAGATATTCGAGAATTTGTTTATACGAGTTCTCTTAGTAAAACGGATATAAATGAAGACATTTTGATAAATGATAATTATATGACAAGAAAGTGAGACTTGAGTGCTTTTGGCAATTACATATATTTAAATATACATTAATAAATATAAATAATAAAATAAAAACTAAGATTTGAACTTACTCATTATTGTTCTCTGACTTCTCTTTTAGCAACGTTGTCTGAACTGATGGTATATTTCTAACAAATTTTAAATATTCAAATTACTAAATATTCATGTAATCAGAACAATGATATTAGTATAAATAGAAAATTAAAACTTACCTATCCTCATACACTTGCTTTATAGATGCTCTTGGAAAAAGTACTTGCAGCGGTGAAATTATAGTTGTATCTCTATAATCAATAAATTGTATTATTTGATCAATAATTTTTATATGATCGATAAATAAAATCGTTACAATAATACAATAAATATCAGTTTTGCATAAAATATGTTTATTCTATATCTATTACAGAATATATATTTATCGGTCCCCTACATGTTCCTAAAGTTTTGACATTTAAATTGGGGACACCCTGTATAATTATATATGTTACATGCAGCAAAATGAAC